TAAACGAAAGTACCTTTTTGAAATGCACGATTCGCATCATTTTGATTTGACATCTTTATGACAGATGAACAGAAGAAGCACGAATCAAATCTTGAATCAAATGAACCTTTTTGGATATTTCTTGATCGAAACTATCCTCATCCTTCTTCTCATCAGCAACACCTTCGATTGTCCCACTTAATAACTTTTTGGCTGCCTCAGTTTCAAGTTGCGGAATCTCTTCTTGCTTTGCATCAGCCACTATTTCACTCTATAAACCTCTTGTTTTTTTAAACGCTCTCATCTTCATCATTCACGTCAACAACCAACCAGCCAAATGAGAAAAAAAAAAAACCTTTCTGCACAACGCAATCAATAAAATACTTTAATCTGCACCAAACTACATTTGTTAAAATTACCTTTTTTCAAAACGTTACAACAACAATCTCAATCTATTCGAGAGCAAACGAAACGACTCATAAAAACTTGCCAACAAACAACTCAAATAAAAACCTTTATTTGGCTGACGATTGCCTCATCCCTATCGACACTCTTCTTCTCCGAATCGGTCGTTTCTTGCTGTTCCGTTCTCTTGTCATCTTCTCCTTTTCCTTGCTCATCACCTTCATCAACTTTCTTCTGTTCGTCAGTCTTTGCCTTATCACTATTTTCGGCTGATGATGACAGTGCTTTAGTTCCATCGAGATGCATTTGTTGCACGTGATGTGCTGCGATGCGAACAAACATCAAATAACGATAACTGAAAATCCATTATTATCCTTTCTTAAAAACTCTATCCATTATAAACGTTCTCAATCGATCAATCAGTTTGAACCATTATTGACTAGTCAGCCATTACTTGCGGATGGATATGTATCCTATCATCTTTAATTTATCGATTTGACAACCATCGATGGAGATTCTATTGAAAGATGCAAAAGTTAAACTACGAAAATGCAAAATTTAAACGCAAGCAATGAAGTAAATAAACGAAAATGAACTACTGACTCAACAAACGCCTCGATCAGTTCCTGTCTCAGAGAGGCGAGTTTATGCGGGAATGGACGTGGATAGCCGTTCTTCTTGCAGATTTCAGTCACCTCTGCACCCTCCAAATAGTTTACATCCGGTGGGAATGTTCTCAACAAGTCCAATATATAATGCCGAGAGTCGTTGCCAACTATACCCTGAAATTCGACCACTCATCTCAAGAACAATATTCACTCTTCGCTTCATTAATTCACTGTTAATCGCTCTGAGCATATATGTAAGTCAAGAATATACGTAAGAAGATCGTCGTCCTGTGCGAATAAATGAAGATAAAACGAAATGAACACTCGTTCTCGTTCAATCGAATGTACTAAATTCGGATGAATGCGTTCTTGATGAGTCAGGTATAACTAAATTTATTCTACTTCAAACAAAACAGCAATTATCGATACTATGACTCTTTGTTGTGTTACCCACTTTGTGGAACAATCAAGCATTGAATGAATAAAAAACGGCAGCGATTAACCTTCGTCTCGAATGAAGAATACAATTTAACAGTTTGACCATCTTCCTTGCCACTCAGCACTTCATGAGGTTGTATCTTCAGCTGCTCAGCTGGTTTCTCCAATAGCTCACGATACTCCTTTAAAACAAAGAAATTTTCAAAATGGTTCTTCATTTTCGAAATATTAAACGTTGATTGACACGTCTGAATTGCGAAAGGATCAGAGTGAATAAGAATGCAAAATAAACGACGTGCAATGCCAATTGCAAACGAATAACTTCCAAAAAGGCAACCTCGGAACTGATGACAGTCTTGCCGAAATCCACAGAGCCATACACAACACTCTGCTCTTGCTCTCGTTCCAGTATGCCCGGTATTATTGACTGCGCCGTTACCCTGAACGAGAAAGCAACATGGTCAAAATTAAGATGACGAATGAATATCAAATCAAAGCAGAGTATGCATAAACGTTTACTGCATAACTCAGCTTTGCTTGCATGAAACATGTTGATGCAATTCAGCAAATCGAACGATGACTATATTTCTCACCTGTAACCTTTATAATCGACGATCACCATTCCAAGAGTGAACAATTTCGGTGTATCAAGTTGTACGTATGCTCGTACCCCCTGCAGATCGTTCGATGTGGCCGCATGCGCTGCTGCATCACCACCCAACTCCTGCAATCAAACAAGNTCTTATCATGTCAAATTGCACAAAATAATCACAATCAGTAATCGAGTCCATCTTATCTATCACGTTATCGATACTCCATCAGCACTCAATCCGTCTAATGAACTGAGATTTGCAACAATGCTAACTTCATAAGTGCGATTAGCTATAAGGAAATGGTCTTTTCATTTTAACAAGATTAAACCATATCAACATGGAAAGTAAATAAAAGAAATGAGAACAATACCTTAATAGCAGCCGATACGAAATCGGAATGAATTTTGAAGATGGCACGTTCACGCACCAATCGCTCGTTGATTGACTCCTTGGGCAGTTCATGAGTGGTTTGCAGTTCCTCATTCCAGTCTCTCACCTGGCCTGGTATATGGTCCTCAAGACCGATTCTATGCGGTTGTGTGCAATCCTCTGCACGAATGCCATCTTCGTTTTGCTCTAGTGATGGTGCCACCCAAGAGTTCACCTTTAAGTTTAAATATAACATGTCGACTGCTTCATTCAAATATACACCAATGAAGCGATTCATCAAGACGTTTCAAAAATACCTGATAGGGGGTTGGAAGACGTTCGAAGATATGCTTCTCGGAACGTTTCTTGAGTATCAGAGCGTAAGCCTTTCTGAATGCCGGGCTGATCGATGAGAGTAGATCGACGAGGGAATGATAAACGGCTTTGTGCGATGGTGACGGAGTCGGCTTGAAGGTCGACTGCTGATCAGTTGTCGCGTTCACGTAGAAGCCACGTGTACAACACGTTATATGATAACGACGCTCCTCACGTGTCTCAACTATCAAATAGAGTATGTCACCCTGGAACGATAGAACAATAATCAAAGAGTTGAATTGCAGGGCATTACCATATGCTATCCAGTTAGATTAATTGATAAACGATTTGAAGGTTCGTAACGATGACACATTTCAATTTCAACAGTTGATAACCTTCATTTTACGTGGTCCTGGCGGTGGATTGTACGGTGAAATAGCCAAACTCTTGAGAGCAACAACCGTTTCGGTATTCGTTGGGAAGAGAGGTACTAATGGACGTTCCTTGTGTCCAGGCAGTAAATACTCTGGTGGCGCACACTCCAATAATCTGAAATCACGCCTTTTGAAAAACGTGAATGAGTCGTCGGTAAATTCATTCTGAATTTCAACTAGAAGCTCTTCTATCAGAACTGATTATTAAAAAATAGTAAGATTAAAAATGGTTCATCAAGAATAAAAAAATTACTTGTCCAAAGACTTTTTACGATCGCCAAGTGTCATTGTGGCGAGATAAGTAAGTGAAGCACCCTCGGCACCATTCACTGCATCCGTCATGTCCAAACTGCGAATCAGTTCACGCACATGACGCACGTGTATACGAGCTTCACGAATCGTGTATGGCTCTGAACNGCAGTTGATCCTTTACACATATTCACAAATGTATTTGTCAATTCATATCTGAAAAACGATAAAATGAAACAGCTACAAAACATAACAACCTTCGACAACTTTCAGTACAGAACCATCGCGAAGACCTTTGATGTTTTTGAGTTCAGTGAAATGATCCAATGAGGTGCCGTTCAACTGCAGACTGAAACACGTACGATGACAAGTCGATTCACGCTCCAACAGCACTTGATGCAACTCTTGTATCATCTCACTTGAGTTCACCTGTAAATCATTTCAATCAGCTTTTCCATTTTTTCACGCCATTTTAGCACTAATCCTGAGTCACGTAAAGTATTTTTATGAACATTCATTCGCATATGCACTGAATTTGACAAACAGGCGCTATAAAAATGTTGACAATAATAATAGTATCAAACCTGTAGATCAAACGGTTCACTACCAGGTGCCTGAATCTGTACATAAAACGTTGAATCGTTTGAATTCAGTGACGTATCGCCCTCGTCCTCTGCCTTCTCCGCTGCAACGGATGAAACAATAATAACACAACAACCTTATTCTGAATAATGCAAAAATGTTTCGGTAGGCATTTAAAGAGCCGATAAATTGAGTGATCAATTAATGAATGAGATGGATGGCGCATTAACCTGGTGAATCGACACGTTGTTCGGTCGGCGTGGGCGGTGATTCTGGAGTGGATGGATTGCTGTCGTGTCCAGAATCATCACCAGACTGCGGCGAGTTCTCGGATCCATCCTCAGAAAACGCCTGAAGAAGTTTGAAGAGATAAATTTAGGGTGATCTCTTTAGACTCGACTCTTTCAAAGGATAATCAGAAATTAAAAACGATTATCGCTAGACGAAACGATAGAGAACAGTCGAAAAAGTTTGAATTGTGCATCAGTTCGACTGGAAACAGTTGCTGCTCTCAAGTGAAAGAATCCAACGATCAAATTCATTTCCGCAGATGCGATCACAAAAAAGAATTCCAACTTTTCATTATTCGCTCTGAATGTGTGTTGCCATTCGAACGCAATTCAATATGAAGCAACTGTTGCATTGAATCAAATAAGATTGCAGTTTTTTTTNTTTTTTTTGGTTCCCATTCAAATGAAGTGAAATATTATTTTTGGATTGAATTTTTCCACGTTAGTGAGCGTTTTTCATGTGCTTTAAAAACTTCATTGTGGAACGACTCTTTTTTGCCGAGCCATTTGGAAAAGAAACTCGACTACAATATGTACGCAGTATTCGATTGAAGCAACAGTCTAGTACATTCATTTCCTTTTGTTCAATTCATAAACTCATAACAACAACAACAATCATTTTCGATTTAGCACATCCGAAATGTTTCATAGCGTTGAAAGTACTTCAAAAATTTAGAATACACTCGTGACAATGGCAAGATCGGATAAGAGTAAGCGAACCTTAACCGTGGAAGCAACAACAGGATCAGCGGTGCAAATCGATGCGCTATCTTCACCCATGCTTAGTTCCTGCAACCACAATAATATGATAACATTTTGATATTATAATAAAACAAAAGCGATTCGAACGCAATAGCACACAATGTATGGATTATATCAACAACACTAATGACGTTAATAGCAATAATGATAATAAAAACAACAGCAATGAAGTAGTGATTCGAAGCAGTCATAAAACAGAACCGGTTGGGTCATCGTTGACCCCGAGAACGGCATAGTAGTCAATGAAAGAATTAAGCGCACAGCAGACAATAATTAAGCAGCGCACACCAAGCATTCATTCATTCATTCATATCAAAAAACGTTGCATTGTCAATAATGAATATGACATTTGAATAACAAATTTCAAAAGCACCAATCGCTACACGGCAACAACTCTAAATTACTCATTCAGAAGAGTGTGCCAAGATAACACGTCAACAATTATTTGGGAAATATCTTTAGCGTTTACGAAAGACAAACGCAGTATTCAAGAGGGATTATACTGATGAAAGGTACAATTGAAGTTGACTGATAAAAAGTATTTTGGGTAAGTGTGTTGTGCAGACACATTAAAGGATTAACTTAAGAGTTTTGCAAGAGAAGCGGCGAAGGGCTTGCTTGCTTGCTTGCTTGCTTCCCGCTTTTGTGCAATTTCTGTTTTAATTGAATGCGTTCACGGATGATGGATGATGCACATAGAATGAGGCGAACGATACACATAGAAGTTAGAGGAAATATTAACTTTTGAAAGTATTCAATAAATCTGAACGCTTGTCGTCGTTGTTGTTGGTGGTGCGGCCGGCCGTTGCACTGCCCTCCCTCAAGCCATACTTGGGCTTAAGATTGGCTAAACTCTTTCTCATAAAACGCTATCCGATTTTATTACATCAATTGTTTGGTCGAGCCTAAGAAGTTAGTGGAAGTAGCCGAAATGAAACAGTTTACAGCAAGTGATCATCATCACAAATATCGCTAACAAGCAGGTGGTACCCAGTTGTATTATACAATTCATTCATCACTATCATTAGCAACAGCCTAAAATAACGCAGATGAGCGTAACGCACATAAGACATAAGCAGCTTCACCGCATTTCGAAAAAAATATTTGCATATAAAGAATTGAGTACGATGAAGTCGATAATATTACATAGGCATTATTGATTGACGTTGTTACAAATGAAACAGTGGATCACGGTGATTGCTTTTTGATAGAAGTGATAAGAATAATAGAGAACTGGATGATAGGAAGAATAGATAAGGAGTAAAGAATTGCTTACGAGCAACGTAAAAACACATCGAATGAGTGCAGGCAGCTAGGGGCATTAGCAACTGCTGGCTGTGCTTGGATGGATAGATGGATGGATGGATGGATGGATGGATGGATGGATGGATGNTTGTCTTTTTTTACGATGCAAGGAATTTATTCACATGGAACGAACGAACGACGGAATATTCTGGCATTGTTGACGTGTTGGCACTGAGCTGCGAGTTCTTTTCTTTTGCCTTTTTTCTTCGGAATTGTACGCTTTTTGAAATGAATGGACGACGACGCATTATTCTTCATTTTTATGTGAAAGCAGGAAGTAGTAGTTCATTTAGAATATAAGATCTGGAATCGAAAATATTTTTATCATACTTGCAGCATCGTCACTGACCATTGTATTGTATATTAAAGTAGTTATTAGAATGAATTTGGCCCAGTAATCCCGTTCAAATAAAGATTCGTCAGTTGATGAGAGCTGCTTTATGATTATGACATTGATCACCACTCGGAATGCTCTTTTTTTTTATCTCGCAAAACGCTTTTCTGTTGTACGCTTTTGAGATAGCAACTAAAATCCTATCATCATCACACACATATCAGATTTCCTAAAGAACCACTCTATGCTGTCTGTCTGTGCAAACAGTGTTGTGCCGCCCATTTTCAACAAATGAATTTGAAAAGCTTCATTTGTGCATTGAAAAGTACGTTGAACTTAGTACTGTTATTACTCGTACATTTCAAATGTATTCGTATTCTGCATTTTGCATCAATTCACTGAAATCGTTTAGCTAATGCATTGAATAACTCAATGCTTTATTAAAATATGAACGAGACATTCAACTGGCTGATGGCTATGATAGCATAATGAGCCAGAGGTGTACCAGATTATCGTTACAAATTGCTGGCTATAGACATTCGCAATCCGCTGAGTGAATAATCAAGGCCACTAGACAACACCATCCATTATTCGCAAAAAAACAATCGCAGCAAATGTATTAGTTGCTGAATATAATGTTTCTATTGACGTGAATGCGAAACATCGTACGCATAGCGAGTGCAATTTAAGGAATAGGCTAATTGCAAGCAAAATGTGATCGTTAGAGGATAATTGTGCACTTGCAGAGAGAGGAGCACATTCAACAGTGCCTCATAGGCCATCGTAAGCATTGTGGCCGTCACGGTGCACTTCTTCTACTACTAGAAATTATGATCAAGAAGAGTGCTTTCGAAACATTTAGAATGAACATGAAACAGAAAAATGAATGTCATCAACAACGAGATTAAATATCCTCTCAGATTTATTTGTGACACGACCAATGATCGTAGTGCGATGCTAAATCGTATGGTGTGATCTTGATTGGTGTTAAAGCAGATGACATTAATCCAAAAAATGCAGCTCTAATATATTCAATATACAATTACCTGCAACAACCAGGTAAATTGTTCGATTGTAAAAGAGATAAGTAAGAGTAAGAGACGAGGATTTACATGGCATTTAATTTTTCAAATTGACAGTAAAGATGATGCACACAGCCTGCCTCTTCAAGGGAATATGAAGAAGGCAAAAAATATATATGTGTGTACGATAGAGAATATTATCACATCAACACAAACTATGAACGAACGTCCAGATTGCTGCCAACAAGTTGATAAATATTACCGAATAAAATATTTACACAAAAGTCGGAATAAAAGTCACAAGATGATACATTCCAACGATTTGCGATTGTGTATCGAACAAAGTTTCAAAAAAAAGTGAAATAAAAATTGTTCGTGCTTCGTCTGCTTCGATTAATCACACTATGCAAAATGCTGCAATTTCCGACAGTTTCAACAAACGAAGTCGTCGTCCATAACGTCAAGCAGACAGATTCGTTTGAAAAATTCGATAATAATTTCAATTTCTAAAAGCCTTCATAGTCGACAACTGTAAATTCGGCAACTAAATGAACATGAACATCGGAAACGAGATATAGAAGATTGACTCATCGAATTGAGTCTTTCTCTAATTTCAGCATATCAATACTCTTTATACTTTCACAATTCTGAAAAAAAAAGGGATATGAGTTGCAATTTAACAAGAAAGTCATAATGTCTAAACAAGTTCAGCGAATTTTCCATTCACAAAGATAAAACGCATCTCACACTTATTGGATCTGCTGCATCGGAGGAACAACGGCAAGCTAGTGAGTGATGAGAGATGAAGCAGAAAATGAAGCAAACTGAAAAAAATCGACAAATAATTGAAAGTGATTTCTGTTTGTAATCGTTTCTGTTCGTAAGCGATATTGTGCTTGTTGGGAGAGAATTTCTTGAAAATGAGTATACTGAACCTTTGTGATGCAGCGAAGCAGTGATAATTGCGACAGTTTCGAGCGCAATGATTAATATCAAATAGCAATGTGAAAGCGATTGTCTTTGATGTTTGCTTCTTTGCAAAGTCACAAAAACGAATCGAGCTGCTGCTTAACGATTGTAAATCATCAAATGCAACACCAATTAAAAGACCTTCAGTGCAACATTATGTTGCAAATCATTGCGAGAAAAACTTTTGAAAAAGCTATGATAGAATTTGACTGAAATATAAATCGAATCACTCACTTATCATTAGTTAATGTCTTCAGACTTACGCTTGAATGATTCCGAAAGTGCTGATAACGATACAAATAAGTGATGGCAACGACAATCGAAGTGATCGCAGAAGCTGCTGTCAACTAACGGTTGATTGATCACAAAAATCGATCAGCTAATTCCAACAAAAAAGTACGCAAGCACTTCATTACATGTGCATTACAATACCAACTACACACATTCACACAAACCGGTTGATAATCATTCACTCGTGTACATTCTATCCAGATATAACATATGTACAATACAATACGACGACGTTCTTAGAACGCCTCTCACGCTGTTTCCTTGTAAATATTTCTACAGAATTCAACCGTTCTTTTATTATCCGCAAAATTCGATCGTAAAAATACAAAGCAGAAAAAACACTGCAGCGAAATCATCAATGAAATCTGTAATGTGCCACTCAAAAAGTTCGACGTAATGAACTTCGATGCATTCTAATCGAGCACACACTTTCACGAAGAATGCCCATAATTCAAGCTAGAGATGTGTTCATAAGCCAACCAAAGACTCAGGCCAAATCGATTACTATTCCTATGCAGTGTTCATCTGACTATCACTACAAATAATGTTACACAACACTAAAATTCCCAACATAAACATCAAGTTGATGCAAGTGGATAGAGTACAAGGGCATTTTTTGGAGGCAGTATGAGGAGAGCATAAGTTGGAGTTTAAACAACGATGTGATGTCTCTCGCTGACATCCAGCAAATATTTGAGCAATCCTCTCTTGAAGAACATTCAAAGAGTGCATTGAAAGATTCGATTAACATTACAAAATACACTGAAATGAAACGATTCAGGCAGTGGTAAATCACTTTAGTCGAGTTTTTATCACTTCGAAACAATTCACAGCGATCGCAAGGTGTTTGGCCATAACTTTAAGCAAATGAAATCAATCAATTCAAAGAGTGAACAAATGAAACAAACCGAAATGGAGAACGAAATAAGCAAAGAAAATAACTTTGAGCATGGTTGCTGATGACATCATAGAATGTTGCTCGATATAGTAATTATAGAGCGATAATGATCACAATAACAACACTGCCTGCGATGAGAATCTCATCATTTAGGTCAGTTTTATTCGTAAATCCATCATGCGAACTTTTTTTGTTTTTG